TAAGTGTTGAAGCTGAGTAAAGAATGTATGTAGAGTCACTATTCTACTTTCAAGAATGTTGAAAATGTTACTGAAAATGTTACTGGTATGTTGGTGTACACCTTTAATCACAGAATTGGAGAGGCAGGTGGATCTCTGTGAGTTTGAAGCCAGCCTGGTCTACATAATGAGGTCTAGACCAGCCAGGTCTGGATAGTGAGGTTCCTGTCTTACAAGTAAATAAATAAGAAAATAAAACCAACAGTATTAAGTACTCTGTAGCTACTATGCTTATTATTTTTCATTAACATTCCCCAGAGTTATCAGTAAAGCTCATGGCTCATTTTTGCTGTCCATTCTCTAGAGTCCCAACCCTGAGTCTTCTGCCTACAATACAAACTCAGTGTTAACCTGGTCTGATTAGGGATGTAGCTTAGCTAGCAGAAAGCCCAAGTAACATGCATAAACAACTGGATTCAATTCCTAGTATCATTAAAAAAATTTTTTTTAATTGAAAACTAGACACATCATCCCCTAGTTTTAATGACCTTCATCTACTATAGGAAGGAAATCACTGATTTACAATGTAACTGTTTACTTTAAAAACTAACAAAAATAGGGTCTACTCCATAGCATAGGCTTTCTTGCCTCTGCCCCTTAGGACCCACCACATCTCTTCCCCTCACCCTCCAGTCATCTTTCAGACCTCAACTCAATCTCTTATTATTTCAGCTAAGACCAGCCCTATCCTAAAGCTAGATAATTCTGCAAGTATACACACTTACAGTCAGTCATGTATTCCCTCACAGGACTTACTAAGCAAAGGTACAATATTAAAATTTTGTCATTTTTCTTCACCATTGTATCCCTCATACTTAGCACAGGGCATGGCCTACATAGAGGAAATGCCTAGTAAGTATTTTGTTTGTTTGTTTGTTTGTTTGTTTTTCCAAGATAGAGTTTCTCTGTGTAGCCCTGACTGTCCTGGAACTCACTCTGTAGATCAGGCTGGCCTCAAACTCAGAGATCTGCCTGCTGCTGCCTCCTGAGTGCTGGCTCAAATGTGTGCATATTTACTGAACAATCAAATGAGTGAATGATAATTTATTGACTAGTAGGCTCCTTCAACTGCTGCCACAAGGCCTCATTGAAGAGCCTGGCCTCGAGGTGCTTCCCTCACCAGTCATCACCCACGTTGAAGGCATTAAGGCTCTTGGTGAAACCCTGCATATTGGTGGGGCTGACTCTCTGCAGGAAGTCGATGTAGTCCTCAGAATGGAAGCGGCACATGTCATGCTGGGAGGCCTGGTAAGGCTTGAAGACCTGGAGAATGGAGACAAAAGTGAAGTTGTTACCTTGAGCACTGCCTAGATGCTAGCTGAATTTCTACACTACCCTGATCTTACCCTTGAAGGCAGGATGCCTATAAGGCAGAAATTCCTCTCAGGGAGGCCAGCCAAACAGGATCAGCCCAAGAAGGCTACCAGAGTGACCAACTAGACAAGACCTCACTTAATTATAATCCCACCAAAACACTGAATGATACTCCCAATTCCATGACAGGGAACAACTGCCATGGTAACAACTGGAAAGCAAAAAGAGAGAGAAGAGTGCCTGAATTCCCAGAAATTTTCTGCCCAGTCTCAGGGAAAAAAAAAAATCCTTTTCTTTATCAGTCTATTTCTCTTACCTCCTTTTTCACTCTATACAAATTCTTTTTTAATTAAAATTGATTTACATTATTTCACTGGGGTGCGGCAGGGGAGGGGGGTAGGTAGGTATGCATGCCACAGTGAAGCCAGGGATAACTTAGATGTCAATTCTCTCCTTTCACCATGTGGGTTTCAGAGTTCAGACTGAGGTCACCAGGCTTGGAGCCAGGTACCTTGACCCACTGAATCATCACTCTAACCCCCATACCTGTAACCTCTTGATTCCTAAGAGTTGTAAAGTTTATCTCTCATTTATATTCTTGACCAAGAATAAAAGTCCCTTTCACTGTTCATTTGACACATGGTCTTGTTACTGGTTCCAGAATTCCAGGAAGGGGTCGGGGGCCGGGAGGCCCAGTTTGAATGCAAAACCTAACAATAAACCCAGGCATTACTATGCCAGCCCCAGGCTGAGACCACTTACACTGAACCCAGCCATGGAGACTGTCCAAAACATATATAACAATCTCCCTACCCCCATCCCTTAGTGAAGAAGAGATGCTATTAGCCAGGCAAGCTACTTTTATCAAGACCCCTGAGGATCATTTCGTCTAATTCCTCTCTTCAGCCCAGTCTCTATCTTCCCAGCCCACTTCTCCTGGCCCACATGCCTGTTCCTAGCTTCCTCAGTCCTGGTTCCCTCTATACTTATCTCCTCTCTTAAACTCAGGTTCTGGTCTCTTCTCTGGGTTTTTCACCATGGGATCAAATCCATGAGATATATGACAATCTAACTGAAATCCAAAGTCCTAAACCAAAGATTTATTATCCTCGGTGGGGGTAGAGGTGGAAGTTCAAACAATGATTTGAAAATTGGGCAAGAAACACTTTTTTTCCTCTCCTAGAAAACGGATAAATGGACACAGACAATTTTAGGGGATTCAGACTTGCACTAATACCACCTCAGTCTACTGTACACCCAAACCACTGCCTGCGCCTAAACACACCAATGACATGTTGAATACCTTCATGGTACACAAGGGCCAGGCTTGCTACATGAGAGATGGGAGAGTTGAGCAGAACCATATAGATACATTCTATATTAAAAAGTAAATTCCTGCCAGGCAGTGGTGGTGTACACCTTTAATCCCAGCACTGGGGAGGCAGAGGCAGGCGATCTGAGTTCAGAGACCAGCCTGGTCTATATAGAGTGAGTTCCAGGAAAGCCAGGGCTACAGAGAAACCCTGTCTCAAAACAACAATAACAACGACAAAAAAAGTAAATTCCCATATTCTCTACACATACACACCACAAAGGAGTGCAGAGTTGTCCTAGCTCCTTTCAGGTAAATGGAGGAGGAGAAGGCGAAGGAATTATGGGTGAAATGTCATTAGAAAATAGACCCTCATCCTTGGTCCTGAACCACTATCCCCTCTACAAAGAAGAGGGGCTAGAGGTGTAGTTCAGTGGCAAAGTACTCACTTAACGTGTGAAACCCTGGATTCTATTCACTAACACTTAAATAAATGAAGTGAAGGGATGAGCCTGTCGCCCTAACCCTAGGCCAGAGGCTGGTCTCCCCTCAAGTTAAAAGGAAGTCCCATCTAAGGTCAAAAATGTATGTCCCATTACGAAAGGGGACACCCCCGACTCAGCAACACCACCACCACCGCCATGCATATAGGAAACGTTCACGGTGCCTTCTATCCTGCTCCCCCTCTAGCGGCAGGTTGCACCTGGTATATCCAGCCCACCTAGCCTAAGGCCGCAGCTTGCTCCCAGGCCCAAACCCCCACAGAAGTGTCAGGACTCACGATCATCTTCTTATAGAGACCATAATGCAAGACTAGGCTATGAGTCAACGCCAGGCGATGGGGCTTCATCGGGTGCCCAGCTCCTGGGGATAGGGAAGGAAAGAGTTGGTCAGTTCCCAGCCCTAGAGTTGCAGCCCTTCCCGGGAAACCTCTCCTCCCGCACAACTCTGTGCCCTACCGTAGTGGAAGTTGCCCACATCGGGGTC